ATTTTATGTGAAGAGAAAAACAATAAATTCGGAATCACTAACTAATTGTGTTGAGAGTAATAAACTCTGTCGCAATATCCCTAGCGACAACCAGAGGGCGATGAATGAATTAACAATAGACTGCACTGGAATGCATGGCCATATTAGTTGGTCTGAACTGTGGAACACACAGAAGTGCGTCATCATGGAAAGACGTCCGTTTTACCTCGCGTAATTTACCGGCAAATACAAACAGCTGAGGAATGGAACCACAGGAGTGCTTTGCCGATGGGTAATCTATCCAATCATAGGAGAACATGGAAGAACACCCACCATACCACCAATGGACTTCCAGGATCCACCTTATTTAAGGGGATTACAGGGAGGGTGGTATTAGGCTTGTTGGTACACTTGATTGTATATTTTGGTGTATTTTATTGTATCTTTATAATATTGGTCCCTGAGGAAGTTCCCTGAAGGGAATGAAACACGTAGGACTGTTTTTTAAACAATATTATTTTAGCAATTTATGCCAATAAATATTTTTTACATCCATACCATTTGGAGTGTGTGACCTTCCTGGTATCCAGATTGGAACTACTGTTGGCAGTGGGACATACCCCCCAAAACCATAGGGGAGGCACCCTAAAGGGCTTGCATTTTCACAACTAATCTGTGAGTGTAACCATTAAGTGTTTGGCTATAATAGTATTTTATTACATTGTATTTAATTTATATGTTTTAGTGATACCAGCTGGATGCCTATCTTGTTTGTATTTTATACCCTCCTAAAAGCATGCTTGTTCATGCTCAGCTTTCTTTAAATTCCTTTTTTGTTCAAATTCAGACCTGCAACCTGATTTCCCTCTGTAAATCTAACATTTCCAATGTTTTGCTACCACTAACCCACCTGCCCAACTCTACTCCCATCCATCCATCCACCAACTCTTGCTCCACCTTTTTTAAGTCTCACTTGTCCTCGAGACTTGGCTGTAAGAGCGCTGTGATTGGTTGGCATACTAGCTATCCAGTCAGAGAGCTCTTAGTCATATTTCATAGCATGGAGAATTTTCCCATGCTTTGCAATAGTATGTATATAAGGGTTTTCCCCCATTATAGCTCATTCTGGGGTGGATCCTCCAAGTGTGAAGATGGAATTTGTTTTTTTATTGTGACGTGTTTTAGAGTCTTTACGGCTTTTTTTTTCACTCAGGTCTTTTTTATTTATTTATTTTTTTTAGAAATGTTAAGTAGTTTAGTCGATTTTTTTTTTTTTTTTAATTTTTTTATAGCTGATGATAAGAGACCCAGGACCCAGGTTTTAGGTTTATAGCCCTCCTCCCCACCCCTTTACTTTATTTAAGATTAGAGGGCTAGGTAGGAACTTCAATTTAATTTTGTGGTGTGGCTAGGAGATCGGGGTTGCCTACTCATCCGGGAGGTGGACATTATCTTGGGAATGGATAATGGCATGTCCACCCCACTATTTTAGAATTATTTGGAGACCCCACCCGTCGCCCAGGGAGGGACACTGGTCATCTTTATTGTTATTATTATTATTAGGGTCCCCAACCAATGCCCATGGGGGGCTAGGTGTGGAAACATTAGGTACTACACCATGTATATTTAAAGTAATCCCCACCCTATATCTCTCCCCATGCCCCATTCACATGGTAGATGTCAGCACACTTGCCGTACGGCAGTAGGTGAGGACACATGGAGGTACAATATCTCCATTATTGTAATATCAGGATATTTTTGAGCCCCATAGGATTTTTATTTATTTAATTTTGTCTTTTTTTTCAATTTGTTGTGGCAACAGTCTAGCAAGCACATAAATTAACCCTTGCACCACCAATTTTTTTTTATTATTTTTTTTTACTATCTGTTCACTGACAAATACAGATATTGACAGAAACATTCCGTTTACCTTCAGCCTCTGTATAGTCATTAATAAATCTTTGAATTATATTCTGTAAATTGGTTTGAATGCAGATATGAGTGATTTTGCAGAAATTGTCAAATTGACTGAATCCTGACACTCCAGATGTTGTGAACTACATCTCCCATAATGCCCTTCACCTATAATGATGGCAAAGCGTCAGGGGGGGATGTGGTTCACTGGGCAAAAAGTACTTCATATCATTATTTCACTTGCCAAAATAATATTTGCAAATGTTCATCCTGCCGGTTGCATTCGGTTATCTTCGGCTGCCATGCAGTCATTAATAAATCTCCAATTCATGTCCTGTAAATTGGTTAAGATGCAGATGCAAAGAACAGTTAGATGATTTAGATGCAGATGCAAAGAACATTTAAAAAATCATCAAACCAACTGAATCCTGACACTTCAGATGTTGTGAACTGCATCTTCTATAATGCTCTTACAGCTGTAATGATGGCAAAGCAGCAGGGGAAATGTAGTCCAATTGGCAAAAAGAATTATCATTTCACTTGCAAAAAACAAGAGAATGATAATTTGCAAATAGTAAACCTGCCGTTTGCGTTTGGTTTATCTTTGGCTGCCATAAGTTATTGATAAATCTCCAATTAATGTGCTCAATATTGGTTTGGATGGAGATATTGGTGATTTTCTGAAGAAATTTTACATCATAAAACCGACTAAATTCTGACCGCACTTGGCTTTAATATATCTATTAATTGCCAATGCGGTCGGAATTCAGTCATTTACACCGGATTTTGCCTAAACAAGCTTACAATCTAAAATACCACTTTGAAAGCTGATAGTAGCCATACTGTGTTTAATAAATAGTGAAGCAGGTTGTATATAAACTGGTATTAGCCACAGAAACTGATAGTCAGCTTACAATGTGGTACAACACATTGTGTTGGTGGAACTGCTTATGGAGGATAAACCAGTTATTCCATAAACTCCTGATTATCCAATCATCCAGTGAGCTGTAGAGCTGAAACATACACAGTCCATGGATTTGCTATAGCTGAGCAGAGAGCAGAAAGGGCTCAACCTAAGTTGTGAATGCAATTATGTAAAGTTGTAAAGATACGTAGAGCAGTGGTTCCCAACCTAGTTCTCAAGTACCCCCTACCAGTCCAGGATTTAGGGATTACCCTGTTGTGTCTAAAGTGTTTTTTTTTTTCTTTCCTAAAAACACCGTAGACACAAGTTGATAGTTCAACATCAAGCATGACTATACACTATAGTATACGTAAAAGAGGAGAATATGCATGTATATACAGAATGAAATAATTACACAAAGTAACTCTAAGGGTCAAGGTTAACTCTTACCTTGAAACAGTAGAAGGACTAAAATGAATCTCAAACCACTTCCTCGATTGATCCAGTCCATTGCAGATGTGCGTGTCAATATTATAGGAGAGAAGAAACTTAGAATAAAAGTTATCAAAAATATTTTAAAACTGAAATATAGGAAGGAGTTAGTTGAAAACATATAGGTCATCTTGAAATAGCATGTATGTAAAAGTACTGGTTTTTACCTTTTAATGGTTTTGTTCAATGTTTCGACTAACCACATCCTTTAGACGTGAACATGTATTGGATGTCAGTGTCTACATCAAGAGACTGAAACATCAATTTGTCTATGTTTAAGGACCAATACAAAATTGATTATTTTGAAAAAAGAGGAAAACATAGATACATGTATAAATACCTTAACTGTTATTATTAATTCTTCGAATTTTTTATGATTTTAGAAAGATATCTGGGTATTTAAAAAAAATAATAAGAAAGTACATTCAAAAAATGAATAACGATGTAAGTGAAATAAAACTACCAGCGAGCCGTGCACGCATTAAAAACACCCATAGAAAAGCATTACTCAATGCTTTCCTATGGACGTTCTGCGTGCTCAATGCGATTTTCGCATTGAGCGTCGGGGAAGTGCCTCTAGCTGCTGTCAAGAAAACAGCCACTAAAGGATGGATTAACCCTGCAATGTAAACATAGCAATTTCTATGAAACTGCTATGTTTACATGTAAAGGGTTAAAACCTGAGGAACCTGGCACCCAGACCACTTCATTGAGCTGAAGTGGTCTGGGTGACTATAGCAGTCCTTTAAGGGTATCCATATGAGACATTATTTTGTATCCCTTATCACTATCAATCTTGGAACCTAAATGGTGGTCACTTACACTGCAACTCACTGCTATCTCCCTTTTGCTGGCTCACTTATATATGCTAACCAGTATATAATAATAATATAGGAGGGGGGAGTTGGAAAACACTTTAATAAATACTTTTTTTTTTCTACTCCTATTATTTCATTGATATCTGTGAGTTTAAGTGATCACTAGACAGATCAGTAATGCCTTTTTCAATTATAGTTTTTCACTGACTAAGTATGCACAATGTAATCCTTTGTTGAGAAGTGATATCTCAGCTGGTTTCAGCAAGTGGAAATGTTAAAAATTGCCCCAACCACCGACTGCCAGCTACCCGGACAACAGATAGAGACACTCACACCATTACTAAGGTCCTGTCTAAAGAAATAATATGGATTAAAGTATTTTCTTTATGCAGCAACCTTGGAAAAGAACATACAGACATTAGCAAGTTTTCTTCTTTTTGTTTTTCACTCCACCAAAAAGACTCACTGGCCAGACATGTACCTGAATAACATACAATGGGACACTGGAGACACAAAAGACTTTTACACCGAGCACTATTGCCTTCACAGCTGCACCCATCTGCTCCAGTTACCATGCTCACCTAGGAGGGATAGGATTGAAAGGGGGATTGGAGGAGGAGGGGGAGATCGGGAGGGGTAGAGGGGAATAGAGCATGCAGAAACTAAGTGAGGGGCAGAGAATAGAGAGTGTGAAAACATAGGGATCACAACTAACTCAGACCTGGACAAACCCAAAGGGAAGAAGGGAAGGGAGGATACAGAAGGGGGGCACAGGGTTGGGTGAAAGGAATGAAGAAGGGGGGATTAAAAGGGTGAGGTGGACAGAATAAGAGAAGGGGAGACAATAAAAAGTAAAGGATGTAGGTGTCACGATTCGGGGAACCCAACACGCTGGCACACACACACACACACACAGAAAAGGTGCCGTACCGGACCTTAGAGTGGCCGGGCTAAGCACGCTAAGAATAGTCAGGAGACAAGCCAAGTAAAGGGAGCCAGAAAACGGGAGAACGAGAAACAAGCCGAGGTCAAAGGAGTGGAGAAGACAGGATAATCGGAATAACGAGCCAAATAATCAGTAACCAGAGAGCAAGACGAGAACACTACGCTACAGGTATCACAAGACCACAACAGGGCACTGAGGGACAGGAAAGGTAAGTATAAATACCCTTGGTTTAATTCTGATTGGATAACTTCCAATCAGAATTAACAATCACACGTGGGGGATATCTATACCTCCCACTGTGATTGTGGTACTGTTCCTTTAATGCCGGGTCACTCACGTGACCCCGGCGTTTACATAGTTCAGTGACCTCCCAGCGTGCAGCGTTATACATGCTGCCGCTGGGGGGCGTGGAGGACGCGGGCGGCGAGCGGCAGAGAGGAGACGCCGCTCGCCGACAGGTAAGCAGAGGGGAGACCGCGGGCGGCGATGGACTGAGGGTGAGTGCTGCAAGTGGCGTGCAGCCTCCCCTCCTAGCCGCCCGCGGATCCCTGACAGTAGGGAAGTGGGACAGAAAAAGAAGCAACAAAAGGTAAGTGAAAGAGGGTAGATGGGGGCAGGTAAACGAGACAGGAAAAAAAGAAATGGAAGAAAAGGGGGGAAAAACAAAAAGTAAGGGAAGTGAAAAGGAAAGGAGTAGAAAATGGGATAAGAGGAAAGGGAAAAGGGGAAAAAAGGAGGAAAATAGCGAAGAATGGCTGAGAAAGGGAGGGGGAGAAGGGTGGGGGACAAAAGGAAAAGGGGGGTCAGGACTGTGGGGATCTTCACTAGGTTAGGGAAGTTCAATCAAGACTGCACAGTGACCAATGCAATGCAAATGTATGAAGGGGGGAGGAGATCACCTTGACCCTTGCTTTGCTTAAAGGGATTCTCCACTGCCAGGAAAATAAACCAGTAAAACTAGAAAATCCTGGAGTGCCCCCCTCCCTCCCGCCCCCATCCCACATGGCTGAATGGGTTAAAACCCATTCAGACACTTACCTGAACCTAGCTCTGATGTCCCTCGGCGCTGGGTCAGGCTCCGCCCATGCTCCTCCCGACGGGGGAGACCTAATGCGCAGCAATGGCCGTGCTCGCGTGTATTAGACCTTCCCATAGTAAAGCATTATTCAATGCTTTCCTATGGGGATTCTGGCGATGCTGGAGGTCATAGCATGAAGTGGTCTGGGTGCCTACAATGTCCCTTTAATGTTCCTATGAAATTAATATTATTTATTTATATTAATCTGTTCATTTATAGAATTAAAGTATTTCTTTCAGTACCAGATTTGCTCTAGGTTAGGTTATAAAAATCAAACATTTTAGGCGTATGAGGTGTGGTGGGGGAGGATTTTTTTTACACAGAAATGGTTCCCTGGATCTGCCAGTGGCATACAGCAGACACATACTACAACATATGATCCTCACACCTGCTACAGTATGCCACATAAACCCACTTGTGTGTATATACATATTAAAATATAGATATTGTGTTGTGATATCTGCTCTGGAACTGGTTGTGGGGTATAACTGTCCATGCTGTCGCATGGCATTGTGTTCATACTCTATGGCATACAGACTCTGAGTGGCTGGGGCTGGGACCTACTTCCCTGATCCATCTACACCTACTGGTTAGACTCCGACCATTGAAATCCCCTTTGCTGGCCCACTGCCGACAAGTTTACTTAATACTCTCAGATTGCTTTGCTGGGGCCCATTGCCTTTTTTCAGGAGACCCACTTCACATCAGACAGACCACCTTGGTTTTCTAAGAAATACTTTCCTTCCAATTTTTTGCTCATAACTTGGTTGCCAAGCCAAAAGGGGTTGCAATTGTGTTTGCTGCAGAGGTCCCTTTCCGGAAAGAAGTGGAGTTAAATATACAGATATATATTGTAGTGGTAGTATAACAGACAATATATTCTCTGCTTTTACCATACCAGGCAAGACTTTGCAAGGAGGCCTCTGAGACAATCCAGCACATAGCACAAACTACACGCACTCTATACATGACATTTTAATGCACTACAGAAATCTATGTGAGCCATACTGGACACAGGAAAAACATATGTCCGTTTCTCCCACTAGATTAGAAAAGGCATTCCAGTTTTAGAAAATGACTAAAGGCCCAGTTTCTATACTCTATATCTAGTGCTACTCCCTGTCAATATGTTTTTCTGAAGGCAGGTCCACTTTTAATTACAGAGTATAGGTCAATGCTTTATCTAAGTGTCAGACATCTCTCAGATTTTTTTTAAGCTCCGGAGATTTCATAAATATGAAATAGCAATGTGACTTCTATTTTCTCCAGAGCTTTCATGATCTGGAGAGAAATCAAAACTAACTGACATCAGAGCAAAGGTAAGCCAGGTAGAGAATATTGATTTTGATGTGACTTCAAAATAGAGACTCTGGGTGCATTAGCAAATCAAGCATATTATTTATTCATGATTAAACATTTTTAATATTCTGAATTAATTTAAAAAAATCTATTCTGCTTATTGTCTTTGGGGGTTTTCTTTTGCAATATTTTCTCAGATTTTTTTTTCCTCTACACACTAACATCTCCATTCAGCAAACCACACTATGATTGTGCAGTACTTCCTGGAATGAACACCCTTTGCTCCATAATATTTTTACTCAATCACATAAATCTATCTATCCACCTCTTATTCAATGTGCAAGCCACTATGAAGATCATCCTTGTCCTGTACTTCTGCACCCAAGGTAGGAGATGCAATCTTAAATATATATATATTATACCTGATTAGTCCTTTACAGCCATCCACATCATTTCTATGTTTTGCTTTAATATTTATTGCTCCTATTACTATATATTTTAAAAGACTTCCTTTATATTGAAACCTGCTGGAGGAAGTCTTGCACCATAATAGACTTCCTCTATTACAAATTAATGCAATACACACACAGCCCAGACTTCGTCTTAGCTAAACAAGTGTACTATTCCTCCGTTATTAACAACTATTCACACAATCCCATTTTTGAGGTTTTCGGGTCATTTTTTTTTGTTTTAAAAATGTTATGTGGGTTATTGAGTAAAACTTGTCATCTTGATATAATGTAATAAAATTGAAGATGACTGAATCTCCCCTCCCCACACTCAATGTTTTGTGTTCCATTACAGGAATCTGGAAAGTTTTTTCAGAAGATCGTTGTGTTTACCAACCAGAGACGATAAGAGTGTCTGAAGGTGGATCTGTCACCATCCCCTGTACATATAGTTCCAGCAAGTATGAATATGAAACTGTTAAGTATAGTTTTAGTTGGGGAGAATCATCAAATACATATTGCAGTAATAACAAAACAATCTACATAGCCAATGAGACATCCACACACAATAAATATCAAGGAAGGCTCTTCAGGAACTCTGATGGAAACTCAGAGTCACTCACAATCCATGGACTTAGGAGAACAGATGGTCCTGTGATCTGCTGTGTCATCATTCAAACAAGAGTGAGGCATGCACCTTATACTTGGAGAAATTTGTATGGGACGTCTTTATTATTTACAGGTAAAATGTAATTTATTAAGGAAAAAAGTAGCAAATGTTAATGCTGTAGAAAAACACATTTTCACTGTGCGATACTTAAAACCAAAAATGGTTAAAATGAGAAGAAACAACTTTTTTTATTTTATAATTTTTTTTTTTGTTTTTAAGCCTTTTACCGTGTGTAATTTTAATGGGGATTTAAAAAATATTTAATAAAACAATATAAAAAAGAATTAGAAGTTATATTAAGAAATACAGAGATAGTTATAGCTCCATGCTTGCACAAATAGGAGAAACCAGCCTTTTAATCTGACTATTTTACAACTTTAGCTACAATATATGAAACCCATTGATTTTACCTAGAAAGCTAATTTTAGTTTTGATAATGAATGTATCTCCTGATACTTAGTTTTTTTATAAAAGTGAATTAAAGATTGAATAGAATAACTCAGGTCTAAAGAGTGTCACATAATGCAGAGTGTAGGAGTATTACACCAAAGAGACCCAATGAGCTATGGTAAAACCAAGAAGAATTATATGTTTAGTTTAAGTTTATAAGTTATGCTTCTTGAAGTTAATTCATGGAAGGGGTAGGTGAATTAGTGCAAGATAGACAAAGGTAATAAGTTAGAAGAGTTTAGGATTAGTGAGGAATGGGTGGAAGGGGGAGACATGTAGGGCGGGATTGGTAGGCGACACAGGAGGGGATATGAAAGAGATGCAAGGATGTGTGGGGGGTGAGGAATGTGAAGACCAGGACGGACAAAAAACATTCTGAATAACACATGTGCAACACACAAATACAAAGTATACATAATATAATTAGATACACACTCCTTGATACAATGTTAAAAAAATGGATCAAGTCATTGGCACTAAATTTGTTAAAGGCAAATAGAATGGTCCCTTTAAATTTTAAAATTCCAGTTGGGTTTCCAGGAGATGAGACCTAACCTTTAAATATAGAAATGCCTTCACCACTGCCCTTATTGGTGTTAGTTCCTGTTTTCACATAGCTCACAATTGGGTGATCTTGGTCGTTTTTGAATGCTGCACCCTTTTATTACATTTACTGATTTGGTATTGAAGACCTTCTTTTATACAAATAATTTCAGCATTTTGGTACATTATCTGCTTTACTTTTTTCCTAGGCTTGGTGGTATTCTTTTTCATTTACCTTTACTAAATTCATTTGTGAGTTTAATGGGATACTCTAAGCACCAACTATAGCTTAACCCCTTAAGGACCAAACTTCTGGAATAAAAGGGAATCATGACATGTCACACATGTCATGTGTCCTTAAGGGGTTAAAGAAAGTGATTTACCTGCTAAATAGCAGAGAATTGTGTAGTGGCATGATCTATGCACCAAAACTACTCCATTAAGCTAAAGTTGTTTGGTGCCAATAGCGTCTCTTTAATAAGAGTTATTGATTTTAGTATAGGTAATGAGAGTTATATATAGAGTGCAATGAGATTATAATATAGATCACAATGAAATTTAGTACATAATTTTAGAAAAAGAAAAAACACACAGCTAACTCTGCTTTGCTATACCATTAGGCACTTAAGAGAGAACCACCGGTTGGATGTACCAATGTTATGGAATACCCATGTTCAGGTTAGTGGGTATAACCCAATGGAACATGTACTAATCTCCATCTGGTCTCCTCAAGAGGGTCTTGTATTGCCAGGTCTTATGAAATGAGCCAGTGGTTTTGAGAAAATACAAACCTGGATGGCATCTAGGTGATGATGGGTTACAGAAGAAACAAATGTCCCAAAACAAAAATTGGACAATTCGGTTACTGAGTTTCTTTCTCTTTGTTCTACAGATGAGCTGTGGGTGGATCAGTTACATGCCATTCCAGCAATTCTAGGAGAAAACATTACCATTCCTTGTTATATTCATTACGCACCGTGGACTAGAATGCGTGTACATCAAGTGATCTGGAGAAAGGCAGCAAATTGTTTTGCTTTAAATCATACAGACATTCACACAATGAATATATCAGACTCAACAAATCAACAATTTCCTTTGGTGAACTATGCTAGTGATCTCTCTCTGCGTATACATAACATCCAGAAAGAAGATGAGAATTTTTACTGCTGCATAGCAAGAACAACACAAGGAACATTCAGCATGAAACAAGGCACTGAGTTGGTGATTAAAGGTAATCATTTTCTGTACTATGAGCTTACAAAAATTGTTTGAGAAGAACAAACCAAAAGTGTGCAAAAATATGCTTTTTTGTATTTGGTGTTAACAATACATTCACCTGTATGTCCAAATAGCAACTATATATATATATAGATCAAAATGCTGATTGTCATATAGCACTAAATGTATGTAACACTCATAACAATTATATACATAATATGTAAATTTAAGTTAAATGGAGGAGCAATAATAGCGCTCACAAAGAATAAGGCAAAAGAAAAAAGAAAAATAAAGACTATACTTCTATAAATAAATGATAGTGCGAGACACTTGAGAGAAGTTGAGCCCAAACACAACTCTATATAAAGTGCACAGGTATAATGAATCCCCGGGGCTGGATCACCAGCCGACCACATCCCTGTAAGTTGATGGAAAACAAGAATTGTAGTGACCAGCAGAGAAGTCTCAGAACTCAATGAGGTGAAGGCCGTACAATTTATTCCAGAGAAGTTAGAGCTTACATATTTATATAGTGCAGTATACAAAAGTAGAGTAATAGGCAATACTTGTTTCAGCCATCAAAACTAAAGTCCTCCCAGCTAATTATCGGAGGCTATGCCCACTCCTCATCCTCAAAATCGCAAACACACATATTTAAATAATATTTGTGTAATTGATACTAAAACAGTTATTATTAAAATATATACCCTTCCTTACTTATCTGCACTGTATTGTGCCTGTGATTTATTATTCTCTTTCACATGCTCACTAGTATCCTAAAAATACAAGACCTGTCATTATTAATATTATTAGTATTAATATGTACAAAGTGCCAACAAGTTCCGTTGCGCTGTACAATGGGTAGACTAACAGACAAGTATTTGTAACCAGACGAGTTGCATGCACAGCAACAGAGGGATTGAGTGCCCTGTTCAATGAGCTTACATGCTAGAGGGAGTGGGGAGTAGTGACACATACGGTAAGGGTAGGGTAGAAAAGTAGGTTGCTAGTATAGTATTCATTGAGGGCTTAGTGTTTTAATGACAGCTGCAGGAGAGGAATCAGGGTGCGGGGAGAGAAAGCTATTCGCAATTTAATTGATATGCTTTCCTAAAGAAGTATGTTTTCAAAGATTTTTTTGAAGGAGTGGAGTGAAGGTCTAACAGTGGAGTGAAAGTCGAACAGAGAGAGGGAGGGCATTCCATAGGAATGGTGCAGCCCTAGTCTTTAAGGCAAGCATCAGAGGTAAGGTACTAACTTATGTAATGGATAGGATATTTGGGATTCTGCTGATGTACCTTAATCCTTTGTTGCTTAATCTGGAATGCTGAAATAGAATGTCTTAACATTGAAGACCAATCTGTAGAGTATGCAGTCTCTGAACAAGCCTTCTGACAATAGGATAACCAAACATCTCTGATGTGGAGCCCTATACCTGGCTCCTGGTGTGTAGGTGTCTGTGCCTTTAAGGGGGCAACTACCCTTCTTTAAGCAGCAACAATGGAGGGTGGATTCCAAATATAAAACAAAATTTATTAAATAAAGTAGTAAAAACTTACAAGTAAAATATAAACAAAATTGTGAGAAATTATAAAATGTGGAATCTTCAATCCTCCAGCCGAAACATGTTTCACTGTACCCAGACAGCTTTTCAGAGACTGCATACTCTACAGATTGGTCTTCAATGTTAAGACATTCTATTTCAGCATTCCAGATTAAGCAACAAAGGATTAAGGTACATCAGCAGAATCCCAAATATCCTATCCATTACATTGTTCTGCTATAAGGTTATTAGCTGGGAAATAACCTTGGGAAGCTGTGTACTTTTCAGTTAAGTTGTTGTGTTTTATCACTTTTCTCACGGGTGTCCGTGTTTTTGTTTGTTTAAGGTACTAACTTAACCTTAACCCTTAACCTAACTCTACTCTAACCCTACATAACCCTATCCCTAACCCTAACCTAACCTTAACCTAACTCTACCCTAACCCTAACCTAACCCTAACCCTAAACCTAACTCTAATCCTACCCTATCCCTAACCCTACTAATATACCTAACCCTACCACTAACCTAACCCTACCCCTAACCCTTCTCCATAAGCCTAACCCTTCCCCTACCCCAAACCCTACCCCAACACTAACCCTACTCCATAACCCTACCCTAACCATATTCCTAACCTAACCCTACCCTAACCTAACTCTACCCCAACCCTAACCTAACCCTAACTCTACTCCATAACCCTACCCTAACTCTAACCATACTTTATAACCCTACCCCAACCCTATACCTAACCCTAAAGCTAACCCTAACCTACCCTTACCCCATAACCCTACCCTAAGTAAGAGATGGATGCTTACGAATATCCAAATTCTTGAAATCCTGAATTGCTGAAGTCCTGAATTTAGAAAGTGCCGAACTGAACCAAAGTGCTGAAGTCCCACAGTTCCAAATTGGCGAAGTCCCAAATTTCAGGCGTGCCGAACCAAACTGAAGTGACAAAGTCCTGAATTCTCGAATTCCCAAATTGCCGAAGCGCCAAAACGAACCAATTTTTTTGCCCGTGCACATGTCAAACAATCAGAGACATGAGTCAAAATCCTTAGAGAACACCAACAGAGAAGAATTGGGGAGAAGAAGCAGAGCCAGAGAAAGAAACACTAAAATAATGTTTGGATAGGTGGGAAGAGCACCTAGACCAAGATTACGGAGGAGAAGAAGAGTAGTGGCCATGGGATTTTCAGTGATAAGATCATTGAAAACTTTGGTCACAGCTAATTCAACAGAGTGATGAGCACTGAATACAAATTGAAGCAGGTCAAGCAGAGAGTTGGATTCGAGGAAGTCTGTCAATCTCGCGTACTCTCTCAAGAATCTTGAAAGCAAATGGCAGTAAACGGCAGTAGTGAGATAGAGCGGTAATTGAATGGGGAATTAGGGTCAAGGTTGGGATTTTTCAGAATTGGGGTAACGGTTGCATTTTTGAAGGGTAGAGGAAATGTGCAGGAGGAGAGGGAGAGATTGAAAAGTTTAGTGATATGCATATCAAGAGGAGAAGACAAAGTGCGGATAAGATATAAAGGAATAGGATCGAGGGAACAGGTGGTTGGACAGGAGGAACGGAGCAGAGAAGAAAGCTCTTCTGCTGTAGCACATGCAAATGAGCATAGGACAGCTGAGGGAGTGTGGTTAGGGGAAAAGTTGGAAGGGGATGGAGAGAGATGATAGATCTCTTCCCTAATTGTATTGACTGAGATCTTCTCAGTGAAGTGAGTTGCAAAGTTTATGGTGGTTAAGTTGGTAGGAAGAGGAGGCACAACAGGGCGAAGACAAGAGTTAAAAGCATTTGGGCTCACGGGAGAGTGTTGTTATGAGTGAACTGAAGTAGTTTTCTTTTGAAGAGGAAAGAGCCAGCATAAATTTATAGTGGAGGAAGTCAAATGCAAAGTGAGACTTTCTCCAGCAGTGTTCAGCAGTTCTGGAACATTTTTAGACGTACCGGGTCAGGTTGGTGGGCCAGGGTTGTAATACTATCACATGCATTACTCACTGAGTGCACCCTTGTGTGTTCCTGTTGAGTTGACTTGTATATTTTTAGTTTTGAAAGGGTGCACTTATTAGGGTGCTATGCTGCTTCTTACTTTTTCCCTTAGTTTAGAGCACCTTGCTTACACATAAATTTGAATTTTTGACATCTCTCCTAACCCTAGGCAACTACCCTGTCTCATTTAATCTCCCATTGTAACACCTCCCTCACTTCACTGTCTCATTTAATCTCTTATTGGAAACACTCTGTCATGCAATTCTAACAATCTCATTTCTATTAACCCTTTCTTTTCTTGTCCTCTCTGGAAAGCTCTCTCTGTGTGTAACAAACTCACAGCCGGCCGCAACCTGTTTATTTCAACTTTTTTGCCATAACCACAGATATCTTCTTCTGACACTGCTTCCATTGCTGCTCTCATTGTGGCCTCTGCTGTAGTCATACCCTAAAACCAGGTGAGAAACATGGCAGCAGTGTTAGGATATTGCAACTGCTTGGCTATCTCACTTTCTATCTCAAAATGGACCATCACTAATTCTTGATGATTTCAACATTATTAATAACCCATGTGCTCTTGCTGCCTCTACTCTTCTTTCACTCACATCCTTTTTTGGTCTCTCTCAATCAACCCTATTCCATATTCACCATGAGACACCTGGTATTTTCCTACCTCTGCTCTATATTTGACTTTACCTGTCACCCTTTTCTCAATTCAGACCACCACATTCTTTAATATAAACTCAATGTATCGACTAAACCCATTTCTTCTCCATCTCTCCCCTACATCTGTAGGAATCTGCACACTGTACATCCTATTTAATTATCCAAACGTGTTCAACATCTCCTCCCTCAACCTTCTACTATGACCTGTGCTAGTTTTGCTAAAGCCTACTACAACAACACACTCTCCTTAACCCCAACTACAGCTTACAGCCCTGGCACTCTAACAACTATGCTAATTGCAAAGTTTCTCACACAGTGCTGAGCGTGTCTAGATGATATCTCACTCTGAAGCTGATTTCATCCATTATTAATTATTTGCTTTTGTGCAACCCTTCACTTAGCCAAGTACTGATAATTGTCTTCTGTTATATCTACTCTTCCCTCCAATCCTAAATGGCTTTACTCTACTTTCAACACTCTCCTTAACCAAACTGTTTCACCCCTCCAAATTATCCAAAGCAAAATCTAAACACAAACTTGCAAAGTTCTGTTTCCAACTCCATTAACATCCACTGTGACTCTTTGCTTCATTCCCCCAGCCACAGAGGATGACGTTTATTCTCTACTGACTTTTTCCCACCTCACTAACCGCCCGCTTGATATTATCCCTTTACATCATATACCCTCTCTGTCTTCCACTCTAACTCCTGCTCTTACGAATATCTTTAACCTATCTCCTTCCACTGGTTCATACCCATCCTCTTTCAGACATGCAAGGGTAACAACCATGCTCAAGAAACCCTCCATTGAACCTAATTTTCCTGCAAACTAACACCCTATATGCCTCTGCCAGGCTAGTCGACTTTACCTGTTGTTCTATATGTGCTTGACCCCCATGACGGTCTCTTAGCATTGACTCCTGTTATGAATATAGCAAGCATATATGTTTATATAAACTAAACTTATCATTGACAACTGACCAACAAAGTTCATAATAATGCCGCTTCACACTACCTATCCTCATTAATAAACAAATATTCTCCAGTCCACCCCATAATGACCAACATTGAGCGGCACCTTTAATTTTCTATTATGATCTTGTCACGATTCGGGGAACCCAACACGCTGGCACACACACACACACACAGAAAAGGGGCTGTACCGCACCTTAGAGTGGCCGGGCTAAGCACAAACAGAATAGTCAGGAGACAAGCCAAGTAAGGGGAACCAGAAGACAGAATAACGTGAAGCGAGCCGAGGTCAAAGGGTAGGAGAAAGTCACAGAGTCAGATAAACAAGCCAGAGAATACGTAACCAGAACCACAAGGTAAGTAGCAATACTAGAAAGCAAAGACCACAACAGGGCAGGGAGGAACAGGAAAGGTAAGTATTTAAACCATAAGGTTAATTCTGATTGGATAATTTCCAATCAGAATTAACAATCACACGTGGGAGATATCTAAACCTCCCACTGTGATTGAGACACTGTGCCTTTAACGCCGGGTCAGGTGGCTGACCCCGGCGTGTAATAACTTGGGCGGTCTCCCAGCGTGCAGCGTCATGTATGCTGCCGCTGGGGGACGTGGAGGAAACAGCGGGCGGCATCCGAGGCTGGAAGGATGCCGCTCGCCAAGCCCACGAGGAGGGGGGTCCGCGGACGGCTGGAGGGTGAGTACCGCGAGCGGAGTGCAGCCTCCCCTCGCAGCCGCCCGCGGGATCCCGACAGATCTCTTCTCATGCTAAAATGAAGGAATTCTCTCACGTGGCACCATCCATCTGGAACGTATTTCCCTGAGCTGTCAAACTTTCCACTAGTTTGTCTTCTTGAAGACATTTTTGTTCAGGGAAGCCTACCACTCAACTCAGAAACACTTTTTACTTATCTACAAATTGGTCTGAGCTTACTCTGTATTTACATCATTTTCACCTTTGCAGTCTTGTTGCCTACCCATCTAGATTGTAAGTACCCACTGGATGCGTTGCCACTGCATTAGGGTCCTCTACTCCTCCTGTATTTGTTTGTTAAATTTTGCATTGTCTCACATATTTTGTACATTTGCCTTTTTACTTGTACCAATGAATTTGTTGGTAATTTATAAAAATAAAAAAAAGTATAACAATATAGTCTTTTTTTCCCCTGCTATTTCTTTTTCACTATTTTGGTCACTTCCCACTTGATATGTGAAGAAAATCATAATTTTATGATAGTCCCACATCTATCAATCATCATCATAAATCAAAACAGCTACTGTGCATTTGCTTTGTTTCATATTTCAGCTACATTTTGGCTCAGAGTTTGTGAATTTACCAAATTAGAGAGCTATTTACTAAATATCTGAAAGTTATTGAATAGCTAACTCTCCAACTTTCTGAGTTATTACAAATTCCACATAAGGATACCAAATTGGGGAGCCATCTACTTAACAACAGCCTAGCTGAATAGTCCCAAGTTTTCTAAAACGAATGGATCCAAAATGATATGTTTTGATTTGATCCTAACTTGTTTATTTTTTTATTTTTTTTATTTCGTCTTCCATCAATTCAGAAATTTGCATGATTCTGAATTGCCAAATTCAGATAAATTTGGACAAAATTAGATTTGGAACTAAACATATTGCACATGTCTAGTCTAATATAAAATGGGAATGGTATGGCACAAAAGTGTAATGCTTTTAACATTGTTGTAGCTTACATTATAAAGGTAATTCACTACAATAAAAGATCTGCAATTGATCACGGAACTTGTACTCTACATTTTCACTGTCAAACTATTACATTTACACAGAGCGTTGCACATGTACCTTAAGTCTTTCCTGTGTTCTAATTTATAGTTTGCAAAAAAGAAAGAAAATATCACACCTTATATCTACCCCTATTTTTACCACAGTGAGTTATTTTATTCCTATTTAAAAAATCCACTTGATCGGTAGCCCATGGAGCAACGCAGTATGGGGAGTGGGCCTTGACAGAGCCAGGGAGTGGGCATGGGCTTAAGTTTGTGGGAAGGGTTTTGGGAGTGATGTTTTGGGGGGTGGAGAGTAGGGATATATAGAGCGGCCATATTAGAATAGGGGCCATTTTAACTGGAGCCTCTCTTACCTGTAGATTGTTGCAGGCCAGAGAGGTTCCCCCCTTTTTTCTTTGTTTCCCTGCAGGTCGATGGCGGCGTTGGAGGAGCTTCTGGAGGGAGTGCGGGCGGCCGTGAGGGACCGTGGCCTCGAATGGCTACATCAGCAGCTGGGGGCCGCCGGGCCTTCCGCATCGGTACCGGCGCGACGACCGACCAGGAGGACGAGGCCGCCGCAGCGGCTGAGCCCGGGTGCTGGGCCCGCGGCGAGACGCCGTCGAAGCCCTTCTGAGGGAGGAGGAACGTCCGCGGGGGCAGGAGAGGTCCCGGTCGTGGAGCCGGGAAGGAGCACGGCTCGGGCCGGCAGGCGCGGCTGCGGTCTGGCGAGGACGGCCGTAAAGCACCCGGCGGCTGGACGACGCACGTCGCGTGGGTCGGCGGCAGGCAGGGGAGATGGAGCGGTGGCTGCCAATTCGGCGGCTGGGTCGGCGGCCAGGACGGAGGACGGTCACGTGGGCGGGATCACAGAGCTGGAACGTCCCGGTGAGTCAGCCACCAGTGGCACCGCTGTGGGGCAGGAGAATGTGGTTATGGGGAGTGTGGAGACAAGAGCAGCCCCCCATGGGTCTGGGGGAGGCTGGGGCGGCGAGGTCAGCGCAGGGACGGCCCAGGCAGGGGTCAGGAGGGAGGATGTCGGTGGTGGCTTTAGTGCGCAGGAGACGGCTGGATCAGGGCGCACGGCGATCAGCCAGGGACAGGATTCTTTAACGGGAAGGACGGCTAGAGGGAAGCCAGGCGCAACAGCAGTGGGAGACAGACGTAGACCCACCCTGGAGGGAGGTGACAGGGGTGGTGGCAGCAGGCGGGAGGGTCCTTCTGGCTGCTCCCAGGGTCAGCATATGGACGGAGAGGACGCAAGGAGTGAGAGGAGAACGGAACGGCGCAGCATGAGCGCCAGGCGCAGCAGCACGAGGAGCAGAGCAGGGAGTCGAGGAAGCGGGGAGAGGTCACCAGTGCGGAGCAGATGCAGCGCAGCTAGGTCCTGTTGCAGGGAAGGCTGTGGGAGGTCCCTGTCTAGGGATAGAAGGCAGAGGAGTCGACGTAGCACGTCTGATTCACCAGACAGGAGAGTACAGGTTCACTCAAGGGGAGCGGATTACAGGGGGAGTCGTTCTGCAAGGCAGCTGGAACGTGGGGAGGAAGGGCGGGTAGACCCTACGCTGAACAGACTACCCAGGTTTTCTTCTCCCTGCAGGTCACGGAGCAATACCCCTACGGTCTCGAGGCGGGACCAGGCGGATGGGAGTCGGCGACAACACGACACTCCGGCTCCCGGAATGGTGGGCGGAAGGACGACGCCCCTGCGGTCAGCTGCGGCCAGGGGCTTGAGCGGTGAGTCAACACATGCACGACACTCTGGACAGTTGTTGAATGATTTGAAAGTATTTTTAGACGCTTGGTCGGACAAGGGCGGGTCCCCCTCGGAATTCGGGCGGGTATGGTCACAGGAAGGTAGTCGGGACGCGGCGGTGGAGCACGCGGGGGCGGTACCGGCGGGGACACATGGAGGCGAGGCCGGCGACGCGACGGGGTCGGCGGGGTTGACCGATGGTGGGGGGGAACCCACGGAAGGGGGTAGCGATGTCCCGGATGCGGCGCGGCAAAACGTGCACGTGTCCTTTGCGGGCCCCCTGGGGTGCCACTTAAAAACAGAAGTAAAGGATAAGATTTGGAAAGGTGAGTTCGTGGAAATCTTTTCCCTTCTTCCCCTCGAGGAATTCTTGGACTTGAAAGAGGAGGATAAAAAGGACGCCAAGAAAGAGGAGGAGGAAAAAAGGCGGAGGTATCGCAAGATACCGAAAACTTTTGGGAATTGGCTACGGGCTTTCTGTATTCTGGCTAGCGTGATAGGGGAAAAGAACCCGGGGCGTTGCTCGAACTTTTTTGCTACTTGGATGGGATAGGCGATGCATATCGAACATACGGGGGATTGGCGTGGTGGAGGTATGACGAGCAATTTCGACAACGGCTAGCGGTGAACACGAGCATGCGGTGGGATCAAATGGATCTGCCGTTATGGATGCGCCTTATGATGGCTCAAAAGGCGGCGCCCTTTCTTGGGACAGCCGGCACGGCCGCAGGGGGTGCTGTGTCGGCTGGGCAAAAGAAAGGCTTCTGCTGGATGTACAACGAGGGACACTGCAAGTGGGGGAATTCCTGCAGGTTCAGACACGAATGTTCCGGCTGCGGGGGGGCGCATGGCGCCAGCCGGTGCTTCAAGAAAGGTAAGCTTGGAGGGGGAGGGGGGTCCGGAGGGGCAGCGCCCCCTGCTGTTACCGCTGGGGGCGTCCCCAGTGAAAGTAGACGTGATGTTGCCTTGGCTAAGGCAGTACGCCAATAGGGCGGATGCGGCCTTGTTGTGGCAGGGATTTCGAGAAGGGTTTGTTATTCCCTTCGTGGTTAGGGGACCGGGAACGATGTGTGGTAATCTCAAGTCAGTTCGGGAGCACCCGGGGGTAGCGCGGGAGAAGTTGAGCAAGGAAGTGCAGCTGGGGAGAATGGCGGGCCCATTCTTGGAGCCGCCGTTGGTCGACCTACGGATATCCCCACTCGGCGTGGTTCCCAAGAAGGAAGCGGGTAAGTTCAGGTTGATACATCATTTATCGTACCCAAAAGGGGCGTCGGTAAATGATGACATTGACGCGGCCCTCAGCTCCGTCTCTTATACGTCATTCGACAAGGCTGTCGAGTTGGTACGGAGAATGGGGCGAGGGGCGCTGATGGCGAAAGTGGATGTGGAGGCAGCCTTTCGGCTGCTCCCTATACACCCCAAATGCCATCATTTGCTCGGGTGCTATCTTGATGGGGGTTATTTCGTGGATCTGTGTTTACCAATGGGCTGTTCCATATCGTGCGCTTATTTTGAGAAATTTAGCACGTTTTTGGAATGGGTGGTGCGGAAGGAATCGGCAGGGGGTGCGGTGGTGCACTATCTTGACGACTTCCTCTGTGTCGGCCCGCAGGGAACGGGCCGGTGTAGACAGGTGTTGGAAGTGTTTCACTGGGTTGCACACTCTTTCGGGGTTCCCTTGGCGGGAGACAAGACGGTTGGGCCCACAACGTGCCTTAGTTTTTTGGGGTTGGAAATCGATTCCGTGAGAGGCGAATGTCGGTTACCTTCAGACAAACTAGTGGATCTGAGGGAGCGGGTGGCCACGGTAGGGAGGGCTAAGAAGGTGACGCTGCGGGGGCTTCAATCATTGGTGGGGAGCCTGAACTTCGCGTGCCGGGTGATACCAATGGGGAGGGTTTTCTGCAGGCGACTGGCACGTGCGACAAGTGGGGTGCGTTGGCCATCGCACTACGTTAGGGTCTCAGCGGATATGAAGGCGGACTTAAGGGTGTGGGACCAGTTCCTACAGGATTTTAATGGTAAGGTGTTCTTTAGGGACCCGGCGGCGGCAACAGAGGTGGGGCTGTACACTGATGCTTCGGGCAGTGTCGGTTTTGGGGCTTATCTTGCGGGTAATTGGTGCGCTGAGGAGTGGCCTGCAGCGTGGAAAGAAAGCCCGCTAATAAGGAATTTGGCGTTTTTGGAATTATTTCCGGTCGTGGTTGCGATGGGCTTATGGGGGCCAGCGTTGGCAAACAGGCACATCGTGTTCCACTCGGATAACATGTCTGTGGTGCAGGCGATAAACAGTTTGTCTGCGTCTTCCCCCCCGGTCTTGTGTTTGTTGCGGCGGTTTGTACTTCTTTGCATGTCCTTCAATGTGGTGTTTAGGGCTAAGCACATCCCTGGTATGTTGAATGTGGTGGCTGATGCGCTTTCTCGTTTTCAGTGGGAACGATTCCGGGAAGCGGCGCCAGACGCCCAGGAGATGGGGCAAGCATGCCCGGACGAGATGTGGCGGCTCGGGACGTCATGCTTGGGGAGTACATAAGGAACTCATTGGCGCCAAGCACGTGGTCGTCGTATGTTAAGGTTTGGAAGGAATGGGAGGAGACAGTTCAACAGGTAGGAGGCGTTTTTTCGGAGGGGCAGCGGGGGGACGTGCTGCTATGGTTGCTGTGTCGCCTGTTCTCAAGACAGGCTTCGCCGGCCATGGTGGACAGGTATATGTCTGCCCTGGCCTTTTTATTTAAGTTCAATGGTTGGGAGGACATTACTAAGAATTTCATGATACGTCAGGCGATACGAGGTTTTCGGAAGGGTAAGAAGTTTGGGGACACGAGAAGACCGGTGTCGTTCTCGGTGTTGCAAGGGTTGTTAGGAGCGTTGGCTGGGTTGTGTCATTCCCCTTTTGAGGTGGCGCTATTTTCGGGAGCGTTTGTATGGGCGTTCTTCGGAGCCTTCCGGATTGGCGAGCTGGTGAGCCCCAACAGGAAAGGGGCCGGCGGATTGCTGCTCGACGACGTGGACTTATGTAACGACAGGGTGCGGATCAGGTTGCGCCGCTCTAAAACAGACGTGTTTGGTAAAGGGTGCTCTGTGGTGTTGTACGAGTTACCGGGTTCAAGGGCGTGCCCGGTGGCTTGCGGGGCGCGGTACTTGGATGTCCGTCCCGGGCTGGCTGGTAGTTTTTTCCTGCATGCAGATGGGACGGCGCTGTCCCGCTTCCAATTTCTGCGGGTTTTTCGAGCGGGTTTACAGAGGCTGGGCTTGGAGCCCAAGCAATTTGGGACGCACTCGTTCCGCATAGGCGCAGCGACGGAGGCAGCACGCCTTGGTTTGGGGGACGAGCGGATTAAGCGGATCGGGAGGTGGGAATCCATGCGGTTCCGCACGTATGTGAGGCCTGACAGGCTGGTGTAAGTAAGCGTTGGGTAGGAAATTGAGAAAGGGGGGGGGGCATTTGTCTCCTCGCAACTAATTTTATTTCCTTTCAGGTTTGAAAGTTTGGTTGATGGGACACTCGTATGTGTACTGGGCGCAGAAGAGAGCCGCAGTTCGAAGATGCGGAACGCAGCTGGGTTTTCCTCTGGAACGAGTGGAATTATCATGGCTTGATTTGAGGGGCGCTAGCTGGCAGGGTCTCTGCAGCGCGTTATTTAAAAAGTTGTCGGGGGGGGCGGTCCCAGACGTGGTACTGGTCCACGGAGGTGGGAACGACCTGGGCTTGCTTCCTCAAAGGTTACTGGTTCGAAAAATGAAGAGGGATATGGATCGGCTGAGGGAGCTGGTTCCTGGCGTGGTCGTAGTTTGGTCTGAGATGGTGCCTCGCTTTACGTGGAAACACGCCAGGGATCCAGCTGCAATAGCTCGATCTAGGGGTAAGGTCAACAAAATTATGTCAGTCTTTATTAGACGGTCCGGGGGCGTGGTGGTGAGGCATAGGGAATTAGAGGGTATGCTGCCGGGATATTTTAGGAGGGATGGTATTCACCTATCGGATGTGGGGAATGATTTGCTGAACCTAGGTTTTCAGGATGGTATAGCACAGGCCCTGTTTAGATATGGTGGGGGTCGCACATTAGCTTAAGGGGGTCAAGCCATGTGCTGTGGCGGAACAGGGCGGTGTATATATTGGAACTTGCGTGGAATTGGAAATGGACAGGCCGAGGTTTAGGCCGGATGGAGTTAAGGATTGGTTGGTTCTAGCTCTTTGGTGGCTACGAACCTGGGGGTGTAAGGGTGTCCGAGGTATACCCCTACAGTTAACTGGACGATATGGGGCCTCTTTGGTAGGCCGTGTGTTTCAAGTTATATGTTATTTGTTGTTATTTATTGTTTAATTGCTAGGGTCATTGTCAGGGGTACTGTGTGGGGGTATAGTAACATAATGTCTAGTAGGACAATGACCCTAGATTATGTTAATTTATTATAATTAATTAATAAAGCTGTGGACTTTATACTCCAACAGAATTATCGGTTTTATTTAAGCGTAAGGGGTAGCACATGCCGAATAACGACTGTGCAAATGTCAGGTAGCCCATGGAGCAACGCAGTATGGGGAGTGGGCCTTGACAGAGCCAGGGAGTGGGCATGGGCTTAAGTTTGTGGGAAGGGTTTTGGGAGTGATGTTTTGGGGGGTGGAGAGTAGGGATATATAGAGCGGCCATATTAGAATAGGGGCCATTTTAACTGGAGCCTCTCTTACCTGTAGATTGTCCCACCCACCCTCCCTAGTTCGCAGTTCCGCTTGGTCACAGCGGCGGAACAGGGCGGTGTATATATTGGAACTTGCGTGGAATTGGAAATGGACAGGCCGAGGTTTAGGCCGGATGGAGTTAAGGATTGGTTGGTTCTAGCTCTTTGGTGGCTACGAACCTGGGGGTGTAGGGGTGTCCGAGGTATACCCCTACAGTTAACTGGACGATATGGGGCCTCTTTGGTAGGCCGTGTGTTTCAAGTTATATGTTATTTGTTGTTATTTATTGTTTAATTGCTAGGGTCATTGTCAGGGGTACTGTGTGGGGGTATAGTAACATAATGTCTAGTAGGACAATGGCCCTAGATTATGTTAATTTATTATAATTAATTAATAAAGCTGTGGACTTTATACTCCAACAGAATTATCGGTGTCAGTGTTTTATTTAAGCGTAAGGGGTAGCACATGCCGAATAACGACTGTGCAAATGTCATGTGGTTTCCCTTTCACTGAGATTTATTTGCATTGCATATAGCCACAAAGAAAGTTAATAGACAGCATAATATGACTTTTATATAAAATACACATCCCTTTTCAAAAGTACTCTTTCAATATATACATAGAAACATAGAATAGCAGGTAAGAACCATTCGGCCCATCTAGTCTGCCAAATACATTCCAAAATGTATCTGTATCGCGAACCATGCAAATTATTCACTGGCTGAGCATGTTTGTTTTGATTTGTATTTCTGAATTCTTCACAAAAGTTGATTGATGGGGAAAAAAGATGATTGATGGATAAGGTACAGCGACCAATTGAGAAAAAGGATTACAAAAAGAGGAACAGTAACATAACAAATTAATCTGTATAAAGTTTGGTTAATTTTTCTCACCTGGTCCATGAACCAAATGGCAGGAAAATGATCCTATCAGTGTACTTTCCTTTATTGTTTTATCTCAAACAGCGTTACATTACTGCGTTTTTAAAAGTTGGGTCAACAATTCTTTCTTGTTACTTTTCTCAATACCCTAAATAATTTATTAAAATATAATACTATGTATATATTTTCCAGTTCACTGAATGGACCATTGTGGCGCCCTTTTGGGTAACGTGATTCATTTTCGGAATCAGGTTTTTATTACTGAAAAATTCTGCCAACACAATCCGCAATATCGTAAAATTCGTCAATCTAAAAAAATCTTGTATTGAGTATTAACGGTTTTATTTTCATGTCTTTCTCAATATGAAATTTAGTCCATAGTTAGTGCCTCGCTTATCCTCATTTATACTCTAGGAATGATTGCCTGCGTGTTGAGGAACACATTTGAGCATTGCCCGATTGTTCCATTCATCTGAACACTTTGTCCTGAAATTTAAATTTTGCTCTGGGTATTACAGTTCAGTATGGCTGAACATCATCCGTGTGAAAAAATTCATGGAAAAATGTAGGTATGCCAAAATAGCCAAAGTATAAACAGTTTTTTATTTTCATGTCTTTTTCCAAAATGAATTTTAGTCTATAGTGTCTCAATCACCCTCATTTATACTCTAGGAATGATTAGCAGTGTGTAGTGAACAAATTTGCTCATTGTGAAACAATTCATGGAAAAATGTAGGCATACCAAAATAGCAAAAAACAAAAAATAAAATAAAAAAAATGCCTGTTAAAGCAATGCAAAAATAGCTTTAATATCAGGCATTTTTGATATACCAGTTATAATGTCAGCATTAGATTACTAATATACACTAGTGGCTTCACTTGGGGAGACCTTTTGGAAAATACCAAAAAGTAGCTAAAATAAAAAATAAATGATAAAGCATGTTTTGTAACTTCTCAATTTCTGTTAACATCGAGTAAAGAAACCTCTTCACCGCAAATACAGTCTTATTACTGCATCCGATGGAGCAAACCAATTATTTCCGATCATTCAGTGTTGAAACATGAAACTAGGATTGTATGATTGTATCTATCAATTGTCTTTTATTCCTTGGTTGCAGTTTTGACTAACAATTTTTTTAATAGCATTCATGTTTCTTCTATCAAATATTTTTTATTACATTTTACAAATATAATATACAATTAACAAGGGTAAAAAAAAAAATACACAAAAAAGAAAAAGCATAGAACCTCCAATCCAATAGCAATGACTCCTGTTATGACTATAGCAAGCATATTTGTTTATATAAACTAAACCATCAGTATATCACATAGTTAGCATAGAGTAAGCATGTTGTCAGGACTTACCTTCACTCCATCGCTGCTTCGGTGGCACTCCCGAGTCTCGGCCATCCTAACGAGAATATGTGCGAACACCAGGGCGGACTCCAGTGAGACGTGCGCTATCGGTCCATGCCGGAAGGGCAGTCTTAGGCGGCGCAGATGGAATCAGTATGAATTATCTCCCATGGCAACCCTAAATGACAGAAAGCCTCATATACCAATAGGGTGCTATGGGAGCATGTCTGAGTAGGTGCATGTTAAATTTGGTACCATATTTAAACCTTGAACAGTTGAGCTGTCATTGCTCAGTTATTCTGTGCTCCATCCCTGCTATACCTGGGATTCCCGATATTTCCCGACCACTGGCCTGTTTTACCATTGCTGAACCTTTGCTGCCTGGATTGACTACTAGACTTCCTGACTTCACTCTTGCCTTGACGTTGCTGGATTTGTTTGCCCTGGCTTTTTGTTTATTTTTATTTTGCTAGTACAAGTGGCACTTTGGGATTAATATCACCTAACCTGACACGTGTATTATAACATATCCGTTGCTAGACATGGTAGCCCTTAATAATAAATAATTACATAATATAACAACACTCAATGGCTATCATTACCTCTGAATAGAGATACAATTGGAAATAACCTGAATAAAGATACAATTGGAAATAACCTGAATTAAAGAGCATATGACTTGCAAATTATTATTATTTATAGAGCGCCCACAAATTCCGCAGCACTATACAATGGGTGGAAATCTCATCTTCCCATATATTCCAACAGATTTTTAGCTGGTCATTTACCGGTGACTGTTTTCTAAGTGCTAGCTCATTTCTTATTTCCCAGTACTAAATTTATCACCTCTTCAATGGAAGTACTCTTCCAGTATTTGGGAACACATGAGCTTACAGCAACATGGATATGCCCCACCATAATTTTAACCACCTTGGACATATTGTTCAGGAATGTTTTAAAAAGACATAGTTCTGGTGACAATTCCATTATTGACTGATCTATTCCCTTTAGTATATTATGAATATCTTTCCAAAATCTTTGTATTTTTGGACATGACCAAAAGATATGGCACTATGAGCCAACTAGGCTAGCAATTGCTAGAGATGTTGAGATTCATTTATTCAGTCTAGAAGGGGTGTGGTACCACCAATATATAATTGTTTAATGATTGAGTAATCCCTTGTAAGTTCAACAAACAGCCACACCATTCTTTCCGGTCATTTGAAGTATCAATACTCTTTCCAAGGCTTGGATGAAATCCATTTTGATTGTAAGTTTTGGAAACTCAGATTGAGAACAAATGAGATGGATCTTTAACTCCCTGGATCACAGAGATATATATTTTCTAAATGTGTAATTTCCAATTGTACAATCCAGTTAGTACAATCCAGTTAGTCGATCATGAAGAATTCCTGTAGTGTGGAAAAGATAATGTCAAACTCCCCAGCAGAAGAAACGTCTAAGTGATATTTTTTTATTCAGCCACAGTTTTTCAAAGGTAATTTAAAAAATAAATAAATAAAGGAACAAAATCAGTGGGTAATTTACTAGCCACTCACCACTTCCACCAAGAGAAAAATAAAATGTTTCCATACATCCCATCTGTCCTGTTAATGACCGTGTTTTCAGTGTGTCAAAAACTGTCCTCTATCGACTTCTCACAACTGGTGGGGATGGTTGCAGTCACACTGACTTAGCCAGGCAGGGAAAAACCAAACAACTGCAATGAAAGGCACTTGAAAAAAAGTTATACTGACCAGCACCAAGCACCATATTTTAGAATTATTTGTAGGATTTTTTTTGTCTTTTCTTTTCTTATCTTTTTTTTTTTAATTAATGGATAATGAAGTTCCCGTATAACCTGTCTCTGATGACTATTGGCACTATTCTCACCACCGCTTGCTTTGCCTATTAGAGTTGGAAGTAATAACGTAGAATATATCATTGGCGGTAGCTCGTTGCGAAGAATCAGGTACAATATTAGTGGACTTGCTGCTTGCCCTAGTAATTTCATGCTCTGCTTCTTCCCTCAGTAATACAGATTTGTAGTGTCTTTGCAGATATTGATTCAGACTGGCAGTAGTGATTTGTGTTTTACTCAGTTTCTTGCTGCACAATTTGCATATATATATATATATATATATATATATATATATATATATATATAATATGTATATGTGTTTAATGTGTATGTAAAAAATTATACAAAATAACTGAAATGTCTACTAGTAATAGCCCTGAAATTGTCACTTGGACAAAGGGTAGTTAAATAGGTTATCTGTTGCTGCTACTCAAGAAGGAAGGTTGCGTAGCCGACTCGGAGATCCATGCTGTCGACAACCATATACTGCTGCCTGCGTTCAGGAGACAAGACGCCGCCAGTCCTGATAGCATGTGTGTTCGTATATGCGAATGGCGGCCACCCAGGGAAGCACTTGAGGTGATTGCTAGTGTGTGGTAAACAGCCAGGCCTGGTCGGTGAGTACGAGGTGCTAAAAAGGAGGACCACACATAATCTGTTCAGTTACCGAACATAAGGGAACGGATAGCCGAACACAAGGTAACAATTATCAGGTAGTGATTCCATTCAAATGCAGGGGGATATCAAACGAAACAAAGTACAAATAAGGGAAAGCGTACGAGGAGTCCCATCTCCCATAACAGATAATAATGCACAAAATGTCTCTAAAATGTTTGATGATCTGGCCACAAACAGTATCAAGTGTAAGGTCCAGTGGGTTCCTATACAAATATAGTGGTGAGCCCTCCTTCCAAATAGGCGCCAAGTTGTCTCTGTCTCCCTCCAGAGTGTGAAAAGTGTAAAAACCAAGTATGAACACAAACTTTGGCCAGGGTTTGTGATGAAGTGGCTATGAAAAATGACTGGACATACCCTATTTTGATTACCCCGGGCTTTCTACTTTTTCCATTATGGTAGGATAACAAAGGATTACTTCTCATTCCTGGGCAGCCATACGATTTCAAATGCAGCATAGACCCAGCAAGCCAATCTGGCAAATTTCAATGTGTAAAAACTTAAATGAAGTTCTGTATTTAAACCATTTTAACTTTCCAAAACATCATGACACCTTTACATGGAGAGCATCATTGTGCTTGTGGGACATCACATCATACAAATATGTGCGTTTTATTGCAGTAAAAGCTAGAAGTATTATGACATTCACAATTAAAAAAGCAATATTAAATTGTTCTCAATATATAAATATCTGATTAATGAAAGCTCAATGTCTCCTTAACAAAAACGAGATGTAATAAGTGTGGGTGCACTTAATATGAATGAATTATGGTTAAACAGACATATAGCTAACATTCTAGGCTTTTGTTTTGGTTCAGGATGTTTACGATTGCCTTCATGCTTTTGACACTGTTGCACATAGAAGGCTTATCAATAAAATGCAATCTTTAAGTTTGGATTCCAATATTGTTGAATGGGTAAGGCAGTGGCTGAGTGACAGGCAACAGAGGGTTGTAGTTAATGGAATATATTCGAAGCTTGGACTTGTCACCAGTGGGGTACCTCAGGGATCTGTACTTGGACCCATTCTCTTTAATATTTTTATTAGTGATATTGCAGAAGGTCTTGATGGTAAGGTATGTCTTTTTGCTGATGATACTAAGATATGTAACAGGGTTGATGTTCCAGGAGGGATAAGCCAAATGACAAATGATTTAGGTAAACTAGAAAAATGGTCAGAATTGTGGCAACTGACATTTAATGTGGATAAGTGCAAGATAATGCATCTTGGACGTAAAAACCCAAGGGCAGAGTACAGAATATTTGATAGAGTCCTAACCTCAACATATGAGGAAAGGGATTTAGGGGTGATTATTTCTGATGACTTAAAGGTAGGCAGACAATGTAATAGAGCAGCAGGAAATGCTAGCAGAATGCTTGGTTGTATAGGGAGAGGTATTAGCAGTAGAAAGAGGGAAGTGCTCATGCCATTGTACAGAACACTGGTGAGACCTCACTTGGAGTATTGTACACAGTACTGGAGACCGTATCTTCAGAAGGATATTGATACCTTAGAGAGGGTTCAGAGAAGGGCTACTAAACTGGTTCATGGATTGCGGGATAAAACTTACCAGGAAAGGTTAAAGGATCTTAACATGTATAGCTTGGAGGAAAGACGAGACAGGGGGGATATGATAGAAATATTTAAATATATAAAGGGAATCAACACAGTAAAGGAGGAGACTATATTTAAAAGAAGAAAAACTACCACAACAAGAGGACATAGTCTTAAATTAGAGGGACAAAGGTTTAAAATAATATCAGGAAGTATTACTTTACTGAGAGGGTAGTGGATGCATGGAATAGCTTTCCAGCTGAAGTGGTAGAGGTTAACACAGTAAAGGAGTTTAAGCATGCGTGGGATAGGCATAAGGCTATCCTAACTATAAGATAAGACTAGGGACTAATGAAAGTATTTAGAAAATTGGGCAGACTAGATGGGCCGAATGGTTCTTATCTGCCGTCACATTCTATGTTTCTATGTTTCTATGCTTAAGGGGTTAACTACATGTGGCATAAGGTAAAAAAAGAAAAACTGAAGAAAAAGATAAAAGGACAGTGCTGCTTTAAAAAGTGTTCAACCTATAGTGATATGGTCAGTGACAAAGGACAATGTGAATACTCAATGAAGTCTTGACTTTTTTGTAAGGTCTGTTATGGAGAAAAAGAAGGCTAGAGGATCCATGATACAGGAAACCAAAAAGTCACACCAGCTGTTAAGTAATTCTATTTTTAATAGGGTATGACTGCATTTCACTATTTTTAATTTCCATCAGATTGACTGGCTTTTCTGGCATTTTCATTGTTTATTATTTTTTATTTTTATTTTTTTTATTGAGGCAGTTGCATAAGATATAAAATACAAAGAGCATAGAGTTATGGTGGTTTAACAAGTGTATAGATCGTCAAACGTACATAGATTAAAACTCTATAAATAAAAAAAAACAAGTATATCATAAAACAAAGAAATACATGCTCTGGTAACCAGGGCCTCAGCATTTGTCTGTTAAAATTTAATTGCAAGTGAGTTGCCACTATTGGAGAGCTAACAGCTAAGGTCATACAAGTTTGGCAATGGGCTGTTATCCTTCTCCTAAAGGAAATATTAGACTAAACTATAGATGAGCCTGTGTACTAATATATGCTTGTAGAGCTCTCTATCTAGATCCATTAAGGACCTGCTGGGAGTAATTTAAACTTATGAGCATGCCTGAGGCATGATGATTTGTGTACAAGAGTGATAGTAGTAACCCCGTAACTCAAGGGGGTGGGGAGGGGTGAGCGGGAGGGAGGTGATGTTACATAGTTACATAGCTGAAAAGAGACTTGCGTCCAATCAAGTTCAGCCTTCCTCACATATTTTTTTGCTGTTGATCCAAAAGAAGGCAAAAAACCTAGTCTGAAGCGCTTCCAATTTTGCAACAAACTAGGAAAAAATGTCTTCTTGACCCCAAAATAGCAGTCAGATGTCTCCTTGGATCAAGCAGCTATTACCCCACTAATTAGAAATTATATCCCTGTGTGTTATGCTTTTGCAAGTATTTATACAATTGCAGTTTAACTATCTGTATAGACTCTGATAAAACCACCTCTTCAGGCAGAGAATTCCATATTTCTTACTGTATATCTATATATGGGCCGATATGCTTACAAACAGTGCCCAATGAACATAGAATTGGGCTATAGGTGGGTTAGAACATAGACAAAAAAATTATATAGCCCTGCAGAGCTCAATGAACTTTCGTTTTAAGTATAGCATTGAGCTATCCACTGTTATCAAAGACGAAAATTAAATGCAAACAGAAAGACAAAGAAAAACAAAAAAAAGCAACATTAATAAAGCTGTAGGTCTTTCATTCCCCTTTCACTCCTGCCATTGGTTGCTCAGCCTGGAGCAGTGGAGCTGCTTGGTGTGAAGACCGCTATGTTGTCCATATTCTAACTGTGTGTACATCTATCGGTGGACTGGCCCAATTCTGGCATAGTGAGTCCCAGTGATTGCAGGAATGTATTTGCATTCGCCATTGAGGTCAGTCTGTTTCTCCTGCCCTGCTTATCCCCAATAAGGGCTCATGGGTTCCCCCACTTCTATGGGACAGCTGCTACTCTCACCTGAGTGGTCACTTCCCTCAAGGAAGCCCTCCATTGTAGTGTCGGTCGACTAAGGTTGTGGTAAAAACTTAGTGAGTGTTGTTCAAACATACATGGCGCTTGTCCCTTGACTGCTGCCATAAGTTCTTCTTTGTTGGCCCTTGATCGAAATCAGTACAAATCTAAAGAATTAAACTCTAAGGTTGTTTTGGCTCCTTCAGATCTATAGATCCTCTATGTACCTTTTGTACTCTTATAGTTTGAATTTATATTTGCAGACACTGTATCCACTCCTGGATTGAAAGTCACTCAGCCAGAATATTCCATGATACATAAAGGAGGCTCAGCCACCATCAACTGCTCATTCAACATCCCCCAGGATAGGCATATCCTGTATATCAGTGTTTATTGGAGAGTGGACAGCCTCCAAGGGATGTATGCCATTCATCCATCTGAAGATATGATTGACCCCAGATACAGGGGAAGGACAACGCTGAATGGGAAGGTGGATCTCCATATATCAAATGTACAGAGTGAGGACAGCACCCTGTATTACTGTATTGTGATGCTTACATTGTGTGCAAAGCCTCATATATACAAATCCGTGATTGAGCATGGACAAGGAACCAGGCTGACAGTGTCAGGTAAAATCAGCACCCACACAAGCATTGACTGTGTTGTAATATTCATCATATAAGAGTCAAATCTATTGATCAATCTATATTCTTACTCTATATTCTCTTCTTTTCTACAAATATAATAATATTTTTTTCACCAAAATCCACTATTGGAAAGTTTCTGACTATGAAACCCACGTGCAAAACATTTGTAGTAATGCAGGTATTTCCTCTAGGATTTGGCTTACTCCCATCCTGCGTTCTTTAGGGTTGATTCAACTTTAATCAAGAATTAAGAACAGATTATCACATACTTAGATTTCTTTGCTTATATAAGTGAAGCTACTTGGAAGCTGTGATGAATCCAGGTGTTCTGTTTATGAAATACGTTTTGCCACCATGGTAACAGTAGAGGTCCTCTGTAAGCAGATGATAGTCCTGAATGATAAAAGTTCTATGTGCAAGTCCTGTTAAAAAGTACATCAGCTTCCTTCATAACCTAATTATATGCTTTATTCCTCTGTGATTCTTCCTTAGATTTGTCTAACAACCTTTCTGAGTCTCAAACAGAAATTAATTCAGTACAGACTCTTCATATCATCCTGACAATTCGATTAATTGTGTTTGGCATCATTATTGTGTGTGGGATTCTAGGATATAGACATGTCAGAAGTAAGTGTATATTCCTTGTAAATAATTATACTGTGCTTGAAATCTATGATCTTTAATTAAACACTGTATCTTTCTATCTTTCTATACAACTATTAACGTCAACTATTTTAAAATAAATCTTCATTCTTATGTTGTTTTGTTCAATAATAAAAATCCATACATCTAAAAATTTCAACTATGACAACAATCTGACAAATTAATCTTTATTATTCCCTTTCACAAAAAAATATAATCAATGTACCTGCAATAGGTCACCTAGTTCAACTGACAAAAATCTGAAGAATTAATCTTATTATTCCCTTTCCCAAAAAAATATAATCAATTTACCTGCAATAGGTCACCTAGTTCTGCACCAAATTAAAGAGACACCATAGTCACCTGAACAACTTTAGCTTAATGAAGCAGTTTTGGTGTATAAAACATGCCCCTGCAGCCTCACTGCTCAATCCTCTGCCATTTAGGAGTTAAATTCCTTTGTTTATGAATCCTAGTCACACCTCCCTGCATGTGACTTGCACAGCCTTCCATAAACACTTCCTGTAAAGAGAGCCCTATTTAGGCTTTCCTTATTGCAAGTTCTCTTTAATTAAGATTTTCTTATCCCCTGCTATGTTAATAGCTTGCTAGACCCTGCAAGAGCCTCCTGTATGTGATTAACGTTCAATTTAGAGATTGATATTTAAGGTAAATAACATCTGTTTGAAAGTGAAACCAGTTTTTTTTTTTTTTATGCCGGCTCTGTCAATCATAGCCAGGGAGGTGTGGCTAGGGCTGCATAAACAGAAACAAAGTGATTTAACTCCTAAATGACAGTGAATTGAGCAGGGAAATTGCAGGGGAATGATCTATACACCAAAACTGCTTTATTTAGCTAAAGTAATTTAGGTGATTATAGTGTTCCTTTAAAATACCTGTAAATAAATTCCTTTTCTCAAAAGGCTATGAGCAAATTAGTTTAGTTGAGTGTGAATTCAGTGTCCATATCAGCTCCTTACTTATGTACAAAATAACAAACATTGTAACAAAAATACAAAATCCTTAAAATGTGTTTGGTTCCTTCCATTGTGAACGCCACCTTTCAATGATTTTCTTTTATGTCTAAAAGTTATGTTACAACCTTTTCATGGGGTATGATACTTTACAAAGATCTTACATCACTAATAACTAGTATAAAACGTCTATGCTGTCTCTTCTAATATAAGCAAAACATGAATAGTGCCTTTTAAATATCAATCAGTGAACTATGGTCTGTAGTACTTATTTAATTCCAATATGCCAGTCTCTATAATTGTTGACTGTAAGAGCCCGTACACAAATATTTACCTGTATTCTTTTAATTGTCTTTTTGTTTTCTTTTCCCATAAGAGCTAATTATAAGTTGATGAAGATGGATGATATGAAACAAAACCAAAATATATGAGAACATTATCTTAATCTACATTACACACAAAGGTACGGGGGTGATAGGCAAGCAATTCAAGGATTACATCTGTTTTATGGACTTCAGAGTTCAGTTTGATGATACCAAGGTAGCCATTGACAATAACAAATGGTTTACCAACATAACACCAACCCTCACTTGGAATCAACTAAATTCAGCAGAAGCTAAACAGGTGTAACCAGATATTCTCTACAAAGTTGACCAGTGGTGACCAGAGTTAATGGAACAAGTCCACAAAAACTACATTACTTTATATTGACTGCATCATAGTCCTGATCACTGAATCAACACTGTTTAAATATTGTGCTTACTATATTGTGGGTTTATACATAATTAATATAAGAAGACCATTACATTGTCCAAAGGAAACCTAATAGTCTCCTTTGGTTTTTAGTTATGAGATATCCCACTGCCTTGCTTGTCTGGTAGAACAGGAATCTAATCCCATGATTTAAATGGGAAATACCTGTTCTCATCTATTTGTTATACTTTATAGAGATGTTATATTTATATTTATGTCTATACATAAAACAGTATGTTTTGTCTTCTGGTAATTTGTTTTCTTTATTGTAACATTTTAGAGCAGTGGTTTGAAAACCATGGCCTACCGACAATCCAGGATTTATGTATGTCCCTGTTTCATTCCCATGGAGATTCGGACAAAACCTGGTCTGTTGGTGGGTCTTGAGTAATGGTTTGGGAAACACTGTTCTAGAGCATTTACTTGCATTTATTATTTGTCTGTTTTCATAATTTGTTATGCTGTTTAAATAAGTGGAAAATATCTGGATCCACAATCAAAGAATCAACTTGGGTGTATTAACATTCTGAAAACAATGCATTGCTAATATACATTTAATAAATACACACTATATTCTATTTGTGGAATATGATTATAATTGAGTTATTCATCAATGACTACGTTTCTGACTACTTGAGGTTATTAGGTTTCTTTCCTACATACCTTGCTTCCAGTTCTTGATATTCTTTTTTTTTAAACAATTCTTTATTTTTGTTGTGCACAAAATGAACATACAGCTTCAGTACGCCACAACGCCGGTTTCAAGGAATATAGGAATACAAAATTCAAGACACCATGTGACGTTTGAAAAATGTAGCACATTTTTTGTTATTAGGTAGAAGATAGTTAAGTAAAAGGTAGTTAATTAGTTAGTTAAGGAGGGTAGTGATTTCTAGTGTACTGTGTGGAATAAATTGAGCTGGCCTTTACTGTTAGGTATGTAGATCATGAGTAGTCAAATATGTGTTATGTAGCTTACACATTATATAAGAGCTGCAAGTTGATTTAACCCCTTAAGGACCAAACTTCTGGAATAAAAGGGAATCATGACATGTCACACATGTCATGTGTCCTTAAGGGGTTAAACACTTTTGCTAGGTAAGAAGAGTTTAATAAACCACTGGTACTCATACTGCCCTGCCAAGGCTGAGGTAAGTAAAGCAAGCATGGTTAAGTAAAAGAAAAATCAAAAGCATAAATAAGAGAGAAAACATGAGTTGGTTCACCCAACCAGGTGACTATTCAGGTGAAGTGCACACCATATATTATGCTGTGGTAAGTATGATGTTTGGGTTTAATGGTTCAACGTTTCAGCATGTGTTGCAGAGAGTATGCTGAGTACGTCCGTGGGTGTAGCAGCCAAGCAGCAGGCATGGGGTGTGGGCCTCTCAGCCTATTCCTTGTGTTCAGTAGGTCTGCCCTCCTCAGCATCCCCGGCCCAGGTACTCACGCAGCTAAGCAGGCGCTTCCGCAAACGGGTAGACTGTCCCTCAACAGAGTCCTGAGTGCACCTGCCGTAGGTCTCATGCCAGCAGCGACTAGGATAACAGGCCACTGGAGCAGATGGGCTACTTTGGGGTGTAGTGTGTTCCGGTTGTCGATTTCAGAGCGATCCGCTACCCATGAGAGGGCCATTGTGGTGAGGTTTAGGCTTAGACTGCTTCTTGTGCCCCCTCACACAGCACACCAACCCTCACACACACCACCCCTCACATATATACACAACACCCCAACATACCGTACCCCTCACACACAATACTTTTAAACATATATATATATATATATATATATATATATATATATTGTTACAAAGTACCCTCTATCTGACACTTTTGCTACACTGTTTACCTGAATAAAAGCACGAAAAGCATTCACCTGGTCATTCGTGTCCGAACACCCAGGATATGGAATGTGCCACCTATTAACCGCCCAGAAACTGCTGTTTCTCGCTTGTTAACCCCGTTCACCTCCCAATTACCAAACAAACTGCCGAACGACCAACCACCCTATATGAAGAGTGTGCCCCTTATTAGCCGCCCAGATGCTGCGGTTTGTGGTTAATTGCAGCTTAATTGACGAACGGCTGGGTGGTTGTCGTTCGTATGCACGGACACGTGGCGGCGGCCATCTTTAACAGCCGAACACCCAGCGGGACTTGGTCGTCAACCTCATGGTACTGTTTTTGGACACTATTATTCACTAATCCCGCTGGGATCCCCAGACCTCTGTCCGTTCGTGTCTAAACAAACGAACACCGTGTCGTTCGGTACTTTGAGACTCTCAAAGCTAGACCGATTCTGTGCCTGAACATTGTGGAGCTAATTCTAGGTTGACCCAGCTCTGATTTGGATCACTTCTGGGTCCATTTAGGCGACCCACCCCTATTGCCAATATGGGTCTTGTCAAGCCTGGAGTCATACAATAGTGACTCAATTGCTCGACGTCGTGCAGATTTGGGACTGCACTCCCTTCTGTGCAAGATGAACTACTGGGAACCAGGATCGATGTATACATTTTTTATAAAAATTTATTGCAGCATTATAAAAGCCAATAAATAAAAAAGGCATCAATATGCAATCCGGAACGCGTTTTGCCACCAATAGTGTGGCTTCCTCAACCGGGTATTACTTTACCCGATTGAGGAACAGACCAGGTCTGTTTTTCTTTAGCCGAGGTAAGACGCTTCTGAAGTTGTTTGTTGTTCAGAAGTGGCTTGACAAGAGGAATACGACATCTGAAGCATCCGTCTGTGTGTGGTAGCTCTTGATGCACTGACTCCAGCCTCAGTTCACTCATTGTGAAAGTCCCCAACACTTTTGAAAGGCCTTTTCCTGACAATCCTCTCCAGTCTGCGGTCATCCCTACTGCTTGTGCACCTTTTTCTTCCACACTTTTCCCTTCCACATAACTTTCTATTAATGTGCTTTGATGCAGCACTTTGGGAGCATCCAACTTCCTTCACAATTACCCTTTGAGGCTTTCCCTCCTTATGGAGGGTGCCAATGATGGTTTTCTGCACAACTGTCAGGTCAGCAGTCTTCCCCATGATCGTGATTCCTACTGAACCAGACTGAGAGACCATTTAAAGGCTCAGAAACCCTTTGCAGGTGTTATGGCTTACTTTACTGATTAGAGTGGGACACTGTGAGCCTAGAATATTGCACCTTTTAACAATATTCTAATTTACTGAGATTGTGGATTTGGGGTTTTCATGAGCTGTAAGCCATAATCATTGCACTTATGACAAATCACGGCTTGAACTATTTTGCTTTGCATGTAATGCATCTATCTCATATATTAGTTTCCCCTTTTACGTTGCATTACTGAAATAAATGCACTTTTGCACGATATTCTAATTTTTCGAGTATCGCCTGTACATCACTTATACACACACGTGTACCAGTTTGTCTATGTATCTGCATGTGTGTCAGTGATTGTATTTCTGTGTCTATGTATCTGCATGTGTGTCAGTGATTTGATCTGTGTGTCTATGTATCTGCATGTGTGTCAGTGTTTGTATATGTGTGTCTATATATCTGCATGTGTGTCAGTGTTTGTATATGTGTGTCTATATATCTGCATGTGTGTCAGTGTTTGTATATGTGTGTTTATGTATCTGCATGTGTATTGTATATGTGTGTCTATATATCTGCACGTGTTTCAGTATATGTATGTGTCAGTGCAACTGTAAGTGGGTCAGTGTTTGTATCTGTGTGTCTATGTATCTGCATGTGTGTCAGTGTATGTATATGTATGTGTCAGTGCAACTGTGCGAGGGACAGTGTTTGTGTCTTTGTGTCTAAATCTGTATGAGTGTCAGTGTTTGAATCTGTGTGTGTGTGTGTGGAGGGAGCCTGGGGCAGAAGGAAGAGCCTGGGGCAGATGGGAGTGCCTTGTGCAGAGGGGAGAGCAGAGAGAGTCTGGGGCAGAGGGGAGAGCCTGGGACAAAGAACAGAGCAGGGAGAGCCTGGGGCCAGGATAGTAAGTAGCAATATACACATCACTGTTAGCTTGGAGGTTCTAGAACAGCACTGCTAAGCCTTTTGGAAGTTGAGAGCCAATTTGAAAATGTGGACACAAAATAGACAACTCTTATATACAATACGATAGTGTGACAGAACCATCTGTCTATCTATTGTGGTGGATTCGTCTATTTCTGCCCCCTTTCGTGTAAATGGCTGTTTCTATAGCCCAGCCATACGAATGACTGTTTTCACCGAACAAATCTGCCGAACGGATGGCCACCCAGGATAGAAGTGTGCTGCTGGTTAACCTCTTGATCCCAATTAGAACGTTGTGGTTAACCGCAGACACTTCTCAATTAAACCAAATTCAGGGTGGCAGTCGTTCATATGTCGACCACGAGGCAGCAGCCATTTTAAAACACACGAAAGCCCAGCGGTGTTTGTCACTGATTTCATGGAACTAAAAAATGACACTTTTTCTGCCGAACACCGCTGAAACAACGGGTCGCCTGGCTGCCTCGACGAAAGCGTACGAACACCGGCCGTTTGGGAGTTTTACAACACACGAAAGGACTTAACCCAGATAGCCCTCCCATGGGGTCAATCGCATACCGAAAGACTGTAAGGACTTTGACTCCATGGCGATTGAACTATGTGTGTGGGATCTGAGCACTATTCGCCAATAATATGCACTCAGATCCAGGCTATCTGGGGATATGTGATGCGAATGGGAAATGTTCGGTTATTTTAAAGTTATGTATTTTTATGTATTTTCTGGTATTTTATTTAAGATGGCGATTTGTCTTTGTCCTGGAGATAATTGAATTACTTCCAAATTATCTCCAGGGCAGAGGAGAGGAAACCATACTGCATTATGGGAAAAGCTTGTGACTGTATGTCTGTTATGTCTTCATGTCCATCTGTAATTCCAGTCTCCCATTTGGTCCCCTAGGGGAGTGTCCACCAAGTGGGAGACCTGCATAAATACGGGCAGGTAGCCCACAGTAAAGCCAGATCCTGTTTGACCCTCAATGCAGAGCTTCTGTCTCTTTATTGGGAGGATTTCTTATATGCGCTTAGAGACTGATTATTGGAACCGAAAGCCACTTGGTGGATATCGGTGTTCGGCGGCTAGCAGCAGTTCGTGGATTTCCGTTCGGGAGTTTGGAGCCTTTCACGGATCCCAGTCGGGAGATTACCGCTCCCCCTGATGATGGTTCGTATACTACAGTCTATGCGGACGGAGTTACTGATATTGCGAAAGGGGAAGGTTAACTAAACGGCGGTTTCTCTTAAAGACACCAGGGGTGTCTTAACAGATAGTAAGGAAAGCAATGAATGATTGAGTTGAGAACATGGATTCTTGATAGTGCTCACTAATAATTCAATAATAGAAGTATTTCTGTGGTGGCTAATCAGAGGAAGTCCCCCAGATGACACTAGTTGTTGTCCTCAATATTGACTTTAAATGTGTCATTCTGGAAAGCATCAGTTCACTTAATATGTACTTCAGAAGAGGGAGAAGATTCTTGCCATATGTATTTTAGATTGACTTATTTTCATTTTCTAGGAGAGTCAC